ATATATGTATATATATATAATATAAAATATAAGCATTTTTAAAAATATAATAATAGTTAAACATTTTTTATATATAGGTATAAACTATCCATTTTTTATATATAATAATAGTTAGACAATGATTAATTTTTATTGAAAAAATTGAGTAGTCACTTTTAATAGAGTCTCTTCTTTTGACAAATTTTTTTACACAAAACTTAAATTCAAAATTTTATTTAATGAGCTCATTGTATTTTTGGTCCCTATTTTTATTAATTCATAATTTGAGTCTCTCTATTTTAAATTTAAGCTATAAACTTTATTTTAAAATAGAGATAGTTATTTCCTCTAATTTAAAAAGAGATATATTGGATTGAAATTTCAAAAGATTTTAAAAGACTTTTTCACTATAAAAAGCTTTTGTAGTGTTCAATCAATAATTTTTTTAATATGAAAAAGACATGTAATATTTAATTATGACAATTAAGTTTTTTTTAAGAGTACATCAAAATCTAATGATATTTAATTAATACTTTTTTACTTAAATTTTTTTATTGATATTTAAAAACGTAAAAATTTCAATAAATTATTTTGATGGATTTGTGTGATTTTTTTAAGTAAAATCAACCCATATATATCAAACATGAATCTCTTTATCTTGCATGGTAGATTCTTTATGGATTTTCTTTAACAAAAAGATTTTTAGAAGAAAAAAAACTTCTTATCTAATTCAATTTAGAAAAAAAAAATTATCATAATTATTTATGAATTAAATTTTAACTATATATTAAACAAAAATATCTATCTTGTGTAAAAATATTTTTAAGAGTTTTTCTTCAATGAAAAAATTTTTAAGAATTTTTAAGAATTTTACAACTTCTTATCTAATTCAGTTTTGTTTATCATAATTATTTATAAATTAAAGTTTAATATTTTTAAAATAAACTATCAATAAATAAAATATTATTATACTAAAATATAAATTATTTATCAAAAATTTAAAATATTAATTTAAAAATATCTATTTATATAAATTTTAAATATATTTTATATATGTAAACATAACATTTATTTGTATATAAAATTTATTAAATATTAGTGATGTTTAATAAATATTTAGTTTAAATTAAAATATTAATTTATATATAATTCACTCATCTAACAATTTCATCAAAAGAGATTTTTCACTCCTCTCTCATCTTTTATTTTCTCTCTTATTTTCCTATCTTTCTTTCCTTTTTCATCTTATTTTTTCTCTCACTTTCTCCTCTCTTTATCTCTCTCTTCTCATATTCTCTATATCTTTTTGTTAATTTCTCATTTTTTTTTCTTCTCTCTATTTTTTTCTCTTTTTTTAATCTATCAATATTTTTTTTAAAGTTAGATAAATACCATATAATAAAAGAGTTTATCATTTTACCTATCTTTTAAAATTTTAAATCGTTTCTTACATATTTAAAAGACTGCAGTAATTTTGAACTAAAAACACATTTTCTATCTTACTACTTTTCTATTTTTCCGATTAACTTATATAACATAAATAAATATAATTTGCTAAACATTACTTATATACATTATAAGTACTTCTCAAGTGATTTTATACTTATTTCTTATTTAAAGATCGTGATATGATTCTTAATATAGAGAAAAATAATAATAATTAAAAGTATCATCTTATCTTTATATAATTAATAAAATTGTACTACTTGTAATGTTGACTTGGTGCCAATGATGCAATCTAGGCCTGAGTACGGGGTGGATTCGGACGGATTCGAGTAAAAAATGTTTAGCTCAATTCAAACCAATAAAAAAAAAACCCATTTTCGATCGTAACAGTATTTCGGGTTTATCGGGTTCAAGTTTTCGGGCCTCGGATTAACTGGATCGGATTAGTCGGATTGAGCCATAACCCGAGCTCACAACATGAAACAAACAACCCCCATTTGAGCTCAACACCCGCGGCAAACAAATCAATCATTACCCACAACGAAAAATCCAATCTTGGACGAAAAACACAAAACTTCACTTCATCCAACAACACCCCACAATCTCTAAGTTCCCAACCGATAATGTCTGATCAAACATTAAAGGGAAAAAATATCATTGTTGGAACCGTTGAGTTAGCGTGAGATGGGCATTACATTACCCATTTGCAAATATTAAGGAATTTGTTAAAAGGGGAAAAAAGTTTGAAAATTGTGGAAAACGATTGAGACCCATTTGTGAGAAGAGAAATGTGGAGTACCTGGGAATGTGTTGGATTGTGGAGATGATGGCATAGTGTGGAAAACAGGGGTTGGTGTGAAGAGGGATGATCCTGACGGGACGAGTGGTCGTAGGGTTTCTAGTTCCTACTGGCGTGAGGAGAGGGTTTCACGGCGCTTAGGATTTCTACAACTTCTACTATCACGGTCGCGGTGCTAGTTAATAAGTAATAACATACCTTTTAAATTTTAATTATTATGCATCGATCGGATATAAATACCGACAGGTTCAAATATTTTAACCCGAACCCGACCAACAAAACCCATATTAAACCGAGTAAAATAACCTGTAAAATTGAAAAATCTAAAAAAAGATCGCCTGAACTAAAAAATGAACCACGAAAAACTTCGATTTTGAACTGTTCGAAACTTTCTACTCACGTTTAATGCAATCTCACCCAAAGTCAAATTTCACACTTCTTAAAAAGCATAATATAGCGTCCGTTTACAAACTATAAATTATTATAAATTATTTTTGTAAGCTCTCTTGAATATACGCACAAATTACTTATGTCACAACATAAGTTTAAGTAAACTGTACATTTTTTAAACAGACCATATAATAATATAATAGAGAGGATTTTTATTTGTACTCATTACAATATTTTCTATGATTAGGAAAGAGAGATGAGAAAATTAAAAAATTATGAGATAAAATGAGTGTATAATAAAGAGAAACAAATAGAGAAAAGTAAGTTCTAAAACAATATTTTAGTAATAGCAAAATTCTACAATAGCATTTATCTTTTCTTGAAATCTTGTGTTGACCAAAAAAAACAGAAAACTATTTTTGCATGCTACTTTCTTTTGCCTAAACATGGCATTGGGACCAAGCCAACTACCAATACTTATGTTTGCCTATCATTTAATTAATGTATATGTTATGAAGGTACTACCACTATATTAATATTACAGAGAAATCCCTATGAGTGTCGTCCACCATAGCGTCTTTGTCTTTGCTGAAATGAAATTAATGCGTCTGCAAACTCATCTTTGCCAAAATCTGGCCAGAGTTCTCGATTAAAATAAAGTTCTGTGTAAGCCAATTGCCACAATAAAAAGTTGCTCACTCTGAGTTCGCCACTAGTTCGTATTAGTAGATCAGGGTAAGGAAACTCGGTGCAATTAGTTTCCAATTCTTGTTCAATTATGTTTTCATTGATGTCGTCCAAATGAAGAAGACCATCTTTTACTTTCCTGGCTACACTTTTACATGCTTGAACAACATCGTATTTTCCACTGTAACTCACTGCCACAATAAGTTGGAGTCTCGAATTCTGTTTTGTATCCTCCTCTGCACTAGCTATCATTGTCTTTAGAGACTCCGGGAGCTTTGATGAATCTCCAATTACTGATATTCGAATTCCTTCCCTAAAACAATGGATAAAATAAAACGAATAAAATATTTGGTTATGATCACAACATTCCAATCAATATATAATTTTAATATATTTTCGGTCTTTCAAATAGGTAAGTTTGTTCCTTTTTTTTATTCAAATTTAAAATGATTTTTTTAGTCATTAATTTGAAGAGAAAAAACTTAATTTATATGTTCAATTATTGATAATAAATCTACTAAACAAAATCCACTTATTATTAACAATATACGCACTTGATTGTTATTCGTTGTTCGTTGGTAAAAATATTATAATAAATTTAATTAATGCTACATGATTGACTTAATTTATGAGAGACCAAAACAACTTTTTCTCTTTAAATTGTAAGTATTAAAAAAATTCATTTTAAATAAAAAAGACTAAAAAAGATATATCTCAAATTTAAGAGATATTTTAATTAGCACCCTGCATCGAAAGTGGTTGTAAGTTCGTAACCTGACGTGATGGAGAGAAGACAATTCTAGAAAGGAAAAAGCAAGCAGTGTCTTTCCTCTACGTAATATTTAGACCACAAAGAAAAACATAGAAAAGAACAAAATAGAACCCCGACTCGAGCAAGATTATTTTAAGTAGTATAGCGACACTTGTTAAGCCTGTAAGCGATTTTTTCTTAACCTTTTTAACATAACCTAAGAAAAATAATATCACTGAGCTAAATATACCAAACTACACTACTACTGCTACTATTTTCTCAAAATAATAATAATAATAATATAATAACACATCAACAATAAAAGTTTTGTTAGCTTTTGTTCGATGTTGAGCAAGATCAGTAGTGGACCTTTTATGTGATAGGAGAGTCACAAAACTTTTTTTTAAAAAAAATAATTATATATATATATATATATTATAATTATTTTATAAAATGATTAGTTAATGATAATTTTTTTCTTGAATTTTATTATTATATATGTTTATTTTGAGTAAGAAAAATAAAATTTTTTGTTATTTTTTAATTAATAAAAAATTTAATTTATATAGTTAGGAGATGAGAGACATATGATAGTTTGTAAAATGAGGTTAACTATATATATATATATATATATATATATATATATTTTTTTTTTTTAAAAATAGAAAATATTGCAAAGATAATCGCAATGAGAATTAAACTTAGGTCTACATGTTTGCAACTACTTCAACTTCTCTTCACCCAACTACTAGGCTAACCCTGATAGTCACTGAACAAGATATTAAAAATGAAAAGACTTTATTAAAAAGTATAATGTTCGCAGCTCATTTAAGGTTAACCGGTTAATACTACATTTTCAATTTTACATTGTGATTTTTAATAAAAAATTTCTGTTCATGTTAGAATTTATAATCTATAACATATATAAAAATATAATTTAATTTGATGTATAATTTTTAAATATTTTAATTTTTAATTTTTAAATAATAAAAATAATATTAAAATTTAATTATCCTTTTAAATAAGTCTTAAACTTGAAATATTAAAGTTTAAAGATCAAAGACAATATTAATTAATTTAACTATTTTAAAAAAATATATTAAATAAATATAAAGACACAAAAGTTTTACTCTAATAATATTAAAAATTAATTATCTTTATAAATAAGTGAAATATTAGAATTTGAAGATCAAACATAATATTAATTAATTTAACAAATATTAATAATTTTTTAAAAAAGTTATTTAATAAATATAAAAACACAAAATATTTTAGTCTAATAATAATAATAATAAATTATATTATTTTTTAATATATACATATCTTTTAGAAATTGTGAGTAATAAGTTCTCATAGTCTTTATTTTTATTAAAACAAGAGATAAAAATAGAAAAAATAATAATAATTTAACTTAATATATTAAATTTAGTATAAAGGCATAATAAATATTATAATTTTAACTATCAAAATAGATATACATTAATAGTGCACTTAAAAAGATTGTAAAAACTAAATTATTTCCACAATTTCACATAATTGATTATTATTAAAATAAAATTGATTTAAATAAGCATATTAATAAGAGACTTAAAAATATTTAATCTTATTTGAATTAAAAAGATCAAAATCAATCAACTTATAAAAAAAACTGTTACAAAATAATCATAAACTTTAAATATTTAACTTCATAAAAACAAATCTTAAGAAAAAAAAAAAACTATTCACAAATTAAAACGGTTATGTCTAATACCATTTTTTTCTCTTCCCACATTATAGGAGAGAATCTAATCTCTCCGCACGCTAAAAACGGTCGATAAAAATAACGAATTAATAAAATAAAATATTAAAAATAAAAGACAAAAATATCATAATCGAACTAAATTGAATCATCTTGTTTGTTTCATTATGGACTAAGCATTAAAGCGGTTTGGTGGTATACAATACTAGTAGTAGTAGTAGTACCTCTTAAAAGCTTCAATCTCAGAGTTTATAGTTCTCTCAAACAGTCTCATCAAGAAATCAACCTCCACCTGCACGCACGACACAATCCCCACAAATCAATAATCACTATGCACTGTACAATCAAAATGCAGTAGGAAGTGAAAAGACAAGAATGACCTTAGGTCGAACCCAGTTATCAGTGGAGAACGCGAAAACCGTCAGCACCTTAATCCCCCAGCTGCCGCACAGCCTCACCATCCTCCTCAGCGACTCCACCCCCGCCTCGTGCCCCGCCGACGCCGCCAGCCCCCGCACCTTCGCCCACCGCCCGTTCCCGTCCATAATCACCGCCACGTGCTTCGGCATCAGCTCCGCCGCCAGCTCCGCAGGAAGCGGCTCCGGCGCCTCTCCGGCCACGGAGGTCCCGTCGCCGCGAACCGCCACTGCCGGCGGAGCAGCCGCCGAGCCGCGCTTCGGCACGGCAGGGCGAGGGCAATAATGGTAATTGCGGGAATGAAAAGAGGGAGCGGGCGTTTTCACGAGCGGAAGCGGAAGCCTGAACGAGAACATTACTGTTAGTGAGAGTGTTAGTTTTTTTTTTAGACTCTAACTGTTGCTGAGGTGAAGAGTGCAGAGGAAGCTTTGGTTTATAACGAGTGAGGATTTGTTTGTTGTCCCCACTTCATAGCCTAGCGTCGCGCCAAAACGCTGCCGTATCCAACCGCGATTGCTAGTTGTGAGCAATGAATGGTTCATATTTGCAGAAGTGATGGATAGTTCGCTACGTGTTTTCTTTTGTCTCTTGCGCCAAATATTTTCCTATTGCTTTTTATTGTAAGCAACACGAATTTTTGAGGTTAAAGACACTCTTCTAATCATCGTGTAGGAGTGTGATCCTTATTTTCAAACATGTTAAGGTTAAGGTTATGGTAGATCCGCTTGGACCTCTCAACGTATTGTGATTTCTATAATCTATGATTCATATGGATAAGAAATGAACCACTGTGACAAAAGAAAAGTGTGATTCAGAGAGAGAACAAAAATATCATTTCTTTCGACCATAAAAAAAGATAGCAAAGTTTCCTTGTTAATTGATAAATGAAATATTCGTAAAAAATTAGAATCACTATTGTCGTTTACATTGACATTGTTCTTTAAATTTAACACTTTTAATTGAATAATTAATTTTTTTTTTAAGGTGTAACTTACTTAATTCAGATGTTCTTATAATTAAGGAAGGGGTAGTATCTTTTTTTTTTTAGTATTATTGTAAAATGACTTTTTATGTTAATAATCAATGTGAATTTTAGTGAGGATAACAAATGGGCAAAAATTTCCGTAGTATTAAGGTTTAGTTTTCTTTTATCCATAAGAATTATAATAATAGTAACAAAGTTGGAATCTATGTATTTGTACATATTATTTCACCCTCGTGATTCAACATTAAGAATTAGTTTACTTTTATGTATGATTAAAAACTAAAAAAGTATTTATATATTGTTAATTTTTTTATTTGATGGATTTATCCTTAGATTTGTTATAAGATTACCGGTTATTATCGTGTCAATTATATTTTAAAAAATTACTTTACATTTATTTACCTTGATCTAATGGATCCAACAACTCCAAACTCTCTCTCTGTATTACATATGTCTTGTAACGGCAAAATCTACCAACAAATTACTAGAAACCACTCTACACTCTTAGACTCTTAAGAAAGGGCTCTTATTATCCCCTATTCAAATTATCAGCAATGGAACGCCAGCATCACACAAATTATTGGAGAACAAAAAAAGGCTCGGTATATACTTAATCATAGGAAGAATGAAGACTTATCAATTTTCCCGTTTATGATTGAAACCCTAAACCCAAATATGGCAAGGCGGGTTAATGACTCAACTTGTTCTAATTTTTTAATTTGACGGCTTGAGGGTGAGGTAGAGTGTGTTGATAAGTAATATTATTTCATCTATATTTAAATATTTTTATATAAACAAAATAAATGTATGTATAAAAATAAATATATTAATCGAAGAACATCATTTCACATCCATTGAAATAACTTTTCTACGTTAGTTATATGACTTGTATAAGTTTTAAGATCATTTCATATCAGACAAAAAACAGTGTCAGATAAATCATTTTATATTGACACGTTCTATATTGATTATACTACAATTGATGATAATATTGGACATTCATGACATAAAATCCTAGACATTCAATGAGTTTTCAGGATCAAATTTTTACATGAATAATACTAAAACATTTAGAACGCGTGGAGTATCTCAAAATGACCCAAATTAGATAAATTAACTAAGTACATCCTACTATAATCATATTTAACATAAAATACTAAAAACTAATAAACCTTAAGTAGTCTTGAGGCTAGGAAAAATCTCTCCTGTTGTTATGGTATGTTGTCTATCTCCACAATAGACAATGATGATGGATCCATATAAATAACTGCAAATAAAATACATACTATTAGTTCATTAAATACATAACAATAACAAGTAATGAGAGGACATTAGTGAAAAAGTAGATTTAACATCAATGATTAGGACGGGGTGAAGCTGCCGATTTACAGAGATGCGTTCGAGGAAAAGGCTAGAATCCTCGATCACTTATTCTATTCATTTTTCATTTTGCTTAATTCAACCCATGTTTTTGGTGTACTTTCTTTTAACGTGGAGGATTATAATGTGAATAAGAAGAGAGGGAGTGATTAATCTTAATCAAGGAAGGAATAGGGAGTCTTAACGGCAACATTGTCTTCCTCCTTGATGGAATGGGAATAGGAACTTGTTGCTTGCTATGTTTGTTTGATTCCATGCGGAAAGTTGAGGGCATCTTTATTTATAAAGAGTTGCTTTGTTTATTATAAGCGACAAATTAATGGTTTGTTTATGTTTCACCTAATTATTATACTGTATGTATTCAAGTTTTTTAATTTTAATATAAAAGTGATTAATAATACTTAGGAGGTGTTTTGGATTAGGATTTTAAAAGACTTTTTTAGTTAAAAAAAATCCTGCGGATTTTAAAAGACTTTGCAGGATTTTCATGACTTTTAAGATTTTGCAGGATTCTACAAGACTTAAAATCAGTATTTTAATGGATTCTGCAAGACTTTTAAATCGGGATTTTAATGGATTCTGTGGAATTTTGTGGAGTTTTGACATTTGATAAAATTTTAAAAAAAATTCATACATTCAAATTTAAAAAGAGTCAAAGACAAAAATAAAAAAAAAACAATAATGTCTAGATAAATAATAATAATAATTCTCCATAATATCCTATCCTCTTTTTATAACATTCACTATCAATTGTAACAATTCATCGGAATCCTCCTTGGTCCAAACTTCATAATTTTCTTTCTCTTTTCTTTTTTCTTTATTATTTCCTTGTGAATCTCTCATTTGAATTACTAAAACAATATATGTTGAAAACTAGTTATATAAATAATTATGGATAAGAGACAAAATCAATAAAATTATATTATTATTTTTAGAAGCACACCAATCATACAAGATCGAATATATCTTGGCTATCCAAATGGATCAAATACCTCAGTCATTATAAAAAAAAACATGTAAAAATGAAAATATAGAAACATAAGATAATTTTTTATATAAAAAAAATCAGTATATTCGATACTGAGAAAATATTTAGATATATAATTTTTTTTATATAAACAGAAGTATTTAAATATAGAGAATATATATGTTGGATCGAGCGCTTACCACTGGGGCAAAAGCTATAGCTTATAGTCAGGGCGCAACTCTTTTTACTTAAGAGCACAGCAGCCCAAGCGCCATGATTCGACAGTGACTTGGCTCACCTAGCCTCCGCCACGGGACAATTGATGCAACCCGCAACA